CCACTCAAGTTCTAAAAACTATTATAAGTAAATAATTTGCTATAGATTGCACTGGATCTTCTGATCCTGTATGCAATTTTGCACTTTTTTTTCTGTTTCTGATTCTAATTAACCTTTCACTTTCTGGTTCATTTGTTCCAGTTTCTGAACCCCATTATCCTTTGACCTTTCGTCTATTTGTTCAGTTTATGATCCCCATTACCTTTTGACCTTTTGGTCTGTTCGTTTCAGTTTGTGATCCCCATTACCCTTTGACCTTTTGGTCTGTTCATTTCACAGTTTGTGACCAGCTGCTCCAAGCCTCCTCTCATGGGTTTTGCTCACATGGAGCCGCCGTTCTCTATAAGATGTGTAGAAGTCAGTGATGACCAGGTCGGTACATCTTTCCTTTTTTGCAAACTCTCGATTACCGTTATCAATATCAGTTACTTTCTGGTGGACTTTTTTTCCCTGTTATATCTGGTATGTTCACACAAAATTTTGGGTCACTCTTTTCCACGATATGACACGTTAGGACACGATAAGACACCAGTAAGACACGAAATGACATGAAAATACATGTTCTGAAACACGAAAAGACACTTGTAACGTAGATCTATGTTTAATGTTTATTCTCGAATATTCACCGCAACACGTTTCGATATTCCGCCAAACACGTTTCGATGTGCCATCAAAAAGTTTCTTGGAAGTAATTCGATCATCCCTTGGTCTTCGCACTTGGCCAGGTTTCTTCCCGATGGGCTGGTTGTCTCACTGGGGTGTTTCCATTGGTGGTGTGGCCCAGAGGGCCTTCCTGTGCTTTCGCCATGGAAAGGGCATCGCGCTGTTTCTGTGTTTTCTTCAAGAAAACCTCAGAAGCCATTAAAAAAACCCTGGTAGTCACGTATCAGTTGGTAATGTCCAAGGCCAACAAGTGACCTTCGCAGCTCACGGAACTGCGCCTCAACTACACTCTGAAGAATATTGCACTGGTCTGGCAGTTTGCCTTCTGTTTCAGAACATTATTGGCACTTTCAATTGCCAGATTGTTGTCCCACAAAGTAGAGTTGACAATCAAACCTGGTTTGGTCATTGTAGTGGCTTTCTCAACCAAGAGGGACTCCGCCCTCCTTATATACTGCACTTATATTCGGCTGAGCGTTGTCCTGCTGACTCCTGTAGGACATCTACCAGAACGGAGGGATCTGTCTCCCTGGCCACCACAGCACCTTGTCCAAAAATCTGATTCACGAGTTCTGTTCAATGCCTTTGAGGCATCCCCACATTTCTCTGAGAATTACATCAAAATTTTTCCTGGCATAGACTGTGCACACGACTCTCGGAGCCCGGGGGAATGCTCTTTTAATGGCAATCCGTATAGCCTCTCACCTCTCGAGTCGTCGCTGTCGTCACCTCTCGAGTCGTCGCTGTCATCTCTCTCACCTCTCCACCACCAGTCATTAATTCTCATCTCTGGGCTACTAGTTCTAGTTTCTCCATCATCGACACTATTCGCACCCATCGAACTTTTGCTTCAACGGGAACAAAATCGTTAGGTCGCCATATATCCGTTTGTCGACAATGTGGAGCCCTGTCCAAAGAATGGGAATAGGTCATTCATTGTGACCTGTGCCTACCATGGCTGTGAGAACTGCAGCTGTAAGTCCTCGGGACCATTTTCAGCTGGATGAGTGGGAAGAATTTTCCAACCAATCACTTCTGCGAATGCACACATATTCCGCGCCCCAGCTGCTTTGAAATCTATTGTACATTCTTTTGCTATCACTGTATAGCCAGGCTCTACGACCAAAAGTTGATCTGGATGAGGGTGTGCTTTCTTGACAAAAATGGGTGAAAGAATTTTTGGTAAATATAGTGTCTTTTCATGTTTTAGAACATGTCTTTACGTGTCTTATCATTGTCTTATCGTGTCTTGACGTATCTTATCGTGGAAAAGAGTGACAGAGAATTTTTTGTCCAATATCTGTTGCTTTCATGCAGAATTTTCTATCTACATGTAATATCTGTTATGTTCACACACAATTTTATGTCTAATATCTGTTGCTTTCATGAAGAATTTGCTATATAATTCATTGACATTCACACAGAATTTTCTAAGATCTATTGCTTTCATACAGAATTTTATATCTTATACATCCGTTATGTTCTCTCAAAACTTTCTAATATTCGTTACATTCACACAGAATTTTCTTACATCTGTTGCTTTCGTGCAGAATTTTCCAATATATCTGTTGTGTTCACACAGAATTTCCTATCTAATGTCTGTTATGTTCACACAGAATTTTCTATCTTATATCTGTTATGTTCACCAAAAATTTTCTATCTAATGTCTGTTATGTTCCTATCTAACGTCTGTTGCTTTCATGTAAGATTTTCTATGTTATCAGTTATGTTCATGCAGAATGTTGTCATTAATTACAGTACATTAGTTTTGCAACGGAATCAAGATCGTATTTCTGTTGACTTTCTCTCACAGGACACTGGAGACACTGTGGGCTCAGTGCTGAAGGGATTTTTCAACATCAAGAAGAAAGATTCTGTGTGGCTTCTCCCAACCTCCTCCACCTGTTTCAACCTCCTCAAGTTGCCCAATTATCCCAAAAAGTCCATTCTCCGAGACAAACTGCGTTACGCGATACACTCCAACTCCGGCTTTGAGAATTCTTGAGGTGGTGGCAATGTTGAACTTTGGTCAAACTTTTAATGTGGGTTGATTTAGCACTGAGGTGGGCAGTGTTGAACTTTGGTCAAACTTTTAGTGTGGGGGTGATTTAGCACTGAGGTGGGCAGTGTTGAAGATTTTTGGGGTATTGAGTATGCAAGTGATGTTGCACTGACATAGCAATGTTGAATATTTTCAGAACATTAAATTGTGCAACATTTCAGTGAGGTGGTGACATTTATTTGGTTGTGTTTTTTAAGTAAAGAGAAGCTCTCTCACACTGAACAAAAGTGGTCATTTAGCGCTTCGTAAAGTCCAAGATATCTTTCTTTTACCCTGCTCTAGACAGCCATTTAATTTAGTCATTATTGTATCGAATTGCTTCTCCTTACTCAAAGAAACGCACAAATTCGTCAACATACTGTGCTTGGATCTACATGTTTTGGAGATCATGTGTATACACCCTGTGCCTGCTTGTACCATCTTATTCAAACTTTAAGTTTTTGTTTTCTTAAGAGCATGTTTTGTCCTTTGGCCCAACTTTTGCTCTTTCGCTGTCCTCAAGTACCGGTATAGCGCGGTCCATTATACTGTAGCCTACACACACAAAGGCACGCAGGCATGCATGCACAAACACACGATTCTCTCTCAAAATATTTTAAGTGGTGTTCATTTAATTAGGTTGAAGGGAATTAATTTTGTTTGCTTTTTTGTGTCAGAACCATTGTCAGTATTAACAGTTTAGCACTTGGAGCGGCATTGCATGGATTTTCAATTGTTGAACATGCAGCACTGTTGTGGTATGTATTTCACGGCTGTTAAAATCCCACTGAAAGTGGTACCTTAGTTGGTGACAGAGCCCCGATCTGACTCCCGTGCGAAGGTAATAAATCAGAGTCACTCGGCCACTCCCGCGCTTAACCCATTCAGTACCATAACGGCCGTAGCCGGCCGCTTCCGTTTCATAAACCTAGTACCATTACGGCCGTAGCCGGCCGCGCGCTAGTAGCGTTGTTTCTACGGAAGTGTACACGCTTGGTAACCATCGTATTTAACCCGCATTTTGACCAATCAGAAAATAGATAATCATTCTCTCCTTGAAAGCAGCTGGGACATAACTCTGGAAATTTTAGTTGGACTAAATTCAATGTAAACAAACCATTTCACATGGGTCGCTCAAGCTAAGATCGAGCATTCTTCGCAAGTCGCCGGCATCGCGTTCGGACTGATTTAGGCGAACTTTTGGATAATTTTAATGAAAATAACAGTGCTGGGGGAGAAAACCCACAGAATGGTAGCAATTGAAGTGAAAGTGACATTGATGGTGATCTAATTGTGCCTTTGGGGGGTGATTCGGACAATGAGAATGAGGTCAATGAGGAGCATATGACTAGATCTAGATCTAGATCTACAACTCGGCTGATTTTATCTTCAATTATGAAATACAGTCAACACACACAGTAAACAAGTAATTTATAAATTACAATTTATTCATTTGTGAAGAACTTGTTTCAAGATTTTTTTTGATCAATGGATTGGTTATTTTACAATGATTTTTTTTAAATACCCACTACATCACAAACACGGATTTATTCCCCTTTGCGTGGTCCTGAGCCATCTTCCCACTGGAAATCCAGTGGTACTGAGTGGGTTAACAACCGTGATGATAGCGATGCCCGCCGCCGTGCCTGCGTAAAACGCTTGCCTTACTGTGCCGCTGTAGAAACTGGCTCGTTGGAAGCAGTATTCTTTTCCTAACAGTTGCATTTTTCCACCGATCATGTGTTAAAGAAATTTTCTTTTGTTTTTGTTTTTTAAACGTATATTTTAGAGGATTATCTCCCCTCTCCATGATTTCACGGAATGCATCCATGCAAATCCTCAGGATCTAAATGGTTAAATTCAAGTTTGGTTTTATTTGGAAAAAAAAGCATACAGTACCTACAGTGAATTTTACTGTTTATGAAAAGATTGGTACGCCCTTGTGAAAAAAAAAAGAAAAAAACAACTTTGTATTGTACAAGTATGTGTACATAGTATATTTATATATGTGTATGCTTACGCTCTTCGGGCCTTGTAGTAAATGCTTTTGAGTTTAGAACAGTGTTGGCTGACTCAGTAGGTCAGGTCGGGAGCAGTTACAAAGGCAGACTGGTTGATGAAGCCTTGGCAGATTTGACCTCTGATTTGTAGTGAAAGTAAAGTATGAGGTTTGGTATCCCCAAATCAGTGCTTTCCATATTTCTAAAAAAATCAAAATAAAATGGATAATGTCAGTATTGAATGTCAACCCAACAGCAAGCGAATGTGCTTTGCCAAATTTGAGAGCACCATCTGGCATTGTTTCAATGATTCCGGCAAGCGCAGGCCATGACGTTTTTTCCTATGACCAGTATCATCCTGATGTTGAAAGCAGACAGGATTGTAAAGGACCGTGACCTTGAACTTGACTTCACATGCAACAGATGGTTGGCTAGCTTCAAAAGAGAGACATGACATCACTCTACATGCTGTGGGCAGTGCATCTGTTACAATAAATAAGTTACAGTAATTTATTTTCCTGCCCTTGTTCATTGTACTGTCACAGTAAAGTATTGATTTTCTTCTATTCTCTCATTTTTCATTGTATCGGTTTTATCTGAACTTTGGATGATGAGTCCAACACATGTGTTTGAATCATCTGTGGCCAACTGTACTTATACTAAATATTATGCAAAGTAGCTTTCTGCGCCTGATTGAAAAAAATGATTTTGATCCTGTCTCTGCTCTTGTTTCTCAAACAAGGAGTGAAGTGTTCTCTTCTGTTAAGTATGAGTTGCAACTGGAGCAATGTATAAAACTTTCAATGTTTTTGTTTTTGGTTTTTTTAATTCTTTTAAAAACACTGTTTGAGGCATTCCAAGTACTAACTGAAAAACTGTTGATGAAATAACTTTTTTTTTTTCCAACATATATTGGGAGACCATTGTGTCTACTAAAAAGATAAAAATAAAAATTCAACACAGTTCTCATTGGTATGGAAAAAAGATAAAATTGAAAGTTAAAAGAACTTTTAGGGATAACGCCATTTCAGCTGGAGAGTTAAAAAATAAATGTGTCTACAGATTCATCACAAGAAATTGATCATAGACGTTTTGGGGAAGTAACACTTCAAACACAGGCACATACTGTTTACACATGTATACATGATATACAGTTGCCGGCGTTATAGTCACTCAGCTTGTGTGTGTGTGTGTGTGCAATAGTGGTATAGTTTATAACTATAATAGCCACTCAATGTAGTGTAAAAGTGTATATGTTATAATCACTGAATATGAGTGTGTAATAGTGTGTGTTTGATAGCCGCTCAGTCTGCATGTGTAATAGTGTGTGTTTGATAGCAACTCAGTCTGTATGTGTAATAGTGTGTGTTTGATAGCAACTCAGTCTGTATGTGTAATAGTGTGTGTTTGATAGCAACTCAGTCTGTATGTGTAATAGTGTGTGTTTGATAGCAACTCAGTCTGTATGTGTAATAGTGTGTGTTTGATAGCAACTCAGTCTGTATGTGTAATAGTGTGTGTTTGATAGCAACTCAGTCTGTATGTGTAATAGTGTGTGTTTGATAGCAACTCAGTCTGTATGTGTAATAGTGAGTGTGATAATCTCGTGTTGTAGTGCGTGTCACTCAATTGATCATGTACATGTGGTAGTTAGTCACTGTGTGTGTGTGTAATAATCACTCTGTGCATTTGTGTGTGTGTGTGTTTTGAAGAAAGACTTTTGCCTGAAAACGTTCAATGGAAATAATGAAGCTTTAACTAATAGAAGTAGAAGTGTTGCTATTTTTGTGTGAAATGTGACCATGACATTGAAATATAAAGCATGTGAGGGAAGCAAAAGTTGTTTAAATTTTATTTTGTTGCCCCTGAAAAATTCCTTTCTACTGACTTGTTTGTTTGGAGAATTTCTCAACTGTGAGGGAAATTATCCAAAAATCTAGTTAAAAGTTCATTTTCTTTGTTGAAAAACTACCTCAGTTCATGAAAATCCTTTGTACAGAAAAATCTGAGATATTCCTGTTTTGGCTTTTTTCAAGGCCTCGTGTCTTGTCTTAACCCTTTGTACCCCAACCACCTTCTTATCTTAGCCCCTGTATTGGAGTTCTACACTAAATGAAACTCTAAATTTATACCCCACCTGAAGAGAACAGATAGCTCAGCTGGTATCTATAATATCATGCTGGACCATGGTAGTGCTTTTATACTTGGGTTGTTTGGGCAGTTTTCAAGGCCCTCCGTCCTCTTGGCTTGATCCTATTGGAGACCTGTTGTAGCATTAAAGGTTAATTAATAAGGGTCTGATCAACCCAATCCATACGTCGTGTTTTACTATCGTATCCATACGACGTGTCGAACTCTGTGCCACCACTTTCAAAGAGGAAATTTACTCGTTAATCCGATCCGTACGCTTTGCATAGCAGTCAGTCTGTCAAAATGATTTTTTGAAAAATATTGAAAGTTTCAAAGAGATTTTCGCACTGGAAGTATTCTAAAATGTGAAGAATACAACCCAGGGGTACAAAATGACCCCAGGGCGTTTGGATAGGGTTAAACAATTACCTTACCAGACTGCTGCATGATAAAAGATTATAATAGTATCACTCATGCGTGTGCTCCGACCCAAAGGCTTCAGTAACTCGCCCATTCCCTCAGCTCACCCAGTGCAGTGGACTTTCCTTAAAGTGAGCTCTGACACAAGGAGTTCTCGGTTGATATAAAACAAGTAGTAGTAGTGATGCCTTTTCTATGTGTCTGCCAAAGAGTTAATGTATGGAGAGAAAAAAGATGGGAGACTAGAGATTGGCAGCCTGATTTTTAAAAGTTGAGTGAGGCTTGTTTCCCAAAATTTTAAAAAAATAAATTCCTGTAGCAACTTGACCACAAAAAAAAAGTCATATAGATCTCTATATTATATCATATGTCACATTTTGATTTTTTAAAAATACACCACATTGTTTCAACATGACATAAGTATGCTAAAGACCTGCTCGCTCAAACCCAACAAATGGATGAAAACAGCATCAGTGGGTGGTTGGCGGATGCGCTGGTGTGGTTTGCTCCTTCTTTCCTAAAATAAATCTATTGCCTCTATCTCTACCCTCCTTCTTTTTTGTGTTTGTTACTCTCTTGTAACACCTCTAATCTTCAGCACTTATATTATGACCTTATTGTTGCAAGTGCCGTAACAATTACTAAAAGTAAACAGCATCAGTGTAGCCATTTGGTTCCATGGTTTTGCCCAATATCTGGCAACAGCTGAGTGTGACTGACAACAAAGATAGTACAAGACAAGATGGGCCACTCAGCCTAAAAAGTGTCCGCAGGAAGTATGCTCTTTGCTTCAGATGGCGCTGCAGTCTGTTTTGAAGCTCTCTTTCGTTTTTCCAGAAGAAGAATAGGAATAGCACCTCCTTGCGTGCGCAGATCGACTGCTGTTCATCAGCAGTTCGGGTACGTTCAGTGCAGAGTTTTAGGGGTTTTTTTATTTTAATGTCCTCTCGCCCTTCATTCTAAAGTCAAATTAAACGAAGAAAACCATCTCCTTTTCCTCCGGAAGAGGTTTTTTGTCAGCGTAACCATTTTTTAAAAAGCGTTCTTCCTAAATTTATCCCAAAACTTGCTAGTTTCACTTTGATTTTTTAAAACTCAAGTAGGGTAACTCTGTTCGCAAAGAGTGCGCTTTTGTGAAGAGGGCGCCACCAAATTTTGAGGACACTTTTTTAATTGGCTCAAAGAGAGAAGTGGCCCATCTTGTCTTGTACTATCTTTGCTGACAAGCAGCTCATTTTGTCCTATTGCTACTCTTTTGTTAGATGAGGGAGGGTTTAGTCATCTTGACCTCAATTGTATAAAAATTCCACTGTACTGGGTTGTGCGTTTTTTTTTGTCTAATACGTCGTCCTACAGCTATCGAGCTCAATCACTGAGAGAGGGAGAAAAGGAGAGGTAGAGAGAGAGATAGAGAAAGAAGAGAGAGGGAGAGAATGAAAGTGTGAAATAGACAGAGAGAGAGAGAGATTTGATGAGAGAAAAAAATTGGTTGAGCAGGATGGGTCAGGTTGTGTCTTTGTAAAAATGTTCCATGTTCAAATGTATTCAGTTTTTAGTTTGCTTGTGAGCCATTGTGAACATTGTAAAGCAAATAAAATTTGAAGTCATACCGGGATACACGCCATACATTTTATGAAATTTATTTTTATTTTTATTCATATAATTCTGCATTCACTATTTGTTTATTTGTCCGTATTCTTTTGCAATTCTTGATAGAAAAGGGAGCATGCAAAATTGTATCAATATCAACGTGATGCTCGCGCTTTTTCACATATATGTTTCTACCTTACGACAATTCTTTGTCAAGAAGAATCTCTGTAAGCTTTTAGCTTTTTTATTTTCTGTTTTCGCTGTAGTAAAACTGTAGCTTGCTCCTATGTGATGTTTCATTTTGTGTGGTGAACCTAGCACTTGACCGAGTGCACTAATGTTATAAAACAAAGTCTGTGAAACTAATAGATGAAGTCCCTGACAGGAAAGCTGTTTCGTAAGATCCAAGGTTGTTTATTTGAGAATTTGTTCAGTAGGCCTATGTGTGGTCTATGATGACTTTTCAAGAATAAGAATGAACAGCAATTCTTTCCTTTCACAGAGTCTGGGGATACATTAAATTGGATGTAGGTGAAAACGGTGAAGTTCGTGACTTTTCAAGAATAAGAATGAACAGCAATTCTTTCCTTTCACAGAGTCTGGGGATACATTAAATTGGATGTAGGTGAAAACGGTGAAGTTCGTGACTTTTCAAGAATAAGAATGAACAGCAATTCTTTCCTTTCACAGA